CCTGCCTCTGCCAAAGGCGGCCTTCACGGCTCCCATTTCCCGGCTCAGGGGCAGCAGGAGCATAAAGCCTTGATTTCCTACAGACTTGTGTCTCCTTCTTGCCCTATCCCCTCTTAACCCTACGCTTCACTGACCCCTCTTAACCCTCCTCCAGCTTCTGATCCATAAATCCCTTCCAAGCCATTGGTTTTCAAAATACCACTCCGATCCTTTAAGAGTCACCCACCATCTTGACTTCCAGCTAAAATATCTGCCAATTGCCTGCAGTAACTTCTCCTCAGCTGCTACGGACTGATCGCAGCCCCCCCCCACCCCATGCCCCTGCGCTGCTTGGGGTGGGGAGAGTCGGGAGTGATGTGAGGTCTGGAAAAAGGCAGGGAGAGGTATTCTTTGAATGTTTGCCGTTTTGTTTCCCACTACTTGAATTAGTAATTAAATATCTTATCTTAATTGGCATTAAACTAAGTTAATTTTCCCCAAGGTGAGTCTATTTTGCCCATGATGGTAACTGGTAAGCAATGTCCCTCTCTTATCTCAGCACATGAACTTTCTGTTCCTTGTTCTTTTTTGTTTTCCGTAGCCATCCTCCTGAGGTGGGGGATGTGAGTGCGCAGCTGGGTGGGAGTTTGGCTGTTGAGCTAGGCTAACCCACCACCATGATAAAGGTATAGATGCTAGATTTTGCCTTTGTAAACGGGGACACAACGCGATGCAACCTGAAGGAGAACACCAAAAATGATATGTCTTCAGAGAACACACGCAGCCAGAGGTAACACACACACATGTGAATGGCTACTAGTTTGTTAGGTGAAGCGCATGTTTTTCCTCCATTGGCTAGTATGTGAAGAAATTAAAACCGTTAACCAGATTCTCCTTGGTCATGGTGATAGGAGTTCCTAATACCAGAGAAAGTAAGCCTGTGGAAGCCCACAAATGTACTCAGTCATATCCAATAAAAGCAATATAGTACAGATCCCTGTCAACTGCAGCAGATCCTACGTTTGTACTAACAAGCAGGTTTTTTAGGGCTTTTGTTTTTTTTCTTTACCTACCTATTTTTCATTTCCTACTCA